GCGGTTTAGGGCTCTAGGGTTTACGGCGTTGAAGTGTTCCCAAAAGAAAGGCTTGGGCTTTCCCAACAACCCTAGACCCATGAATCTTAACCCGCCAAAGCCGGAAACCTTCGAGAAGGACAATCGTCCCTACTGAGCTCCTCCGCTGTTACAATACCCAATTTCTGATTCGTCCTGCCAGTGGGCTTCTTCAGCGTGTCACTTGGTTCCGCAGCATTTCACTTTAAAAACCGACTGAACCCTAAACACTACGCCCTAAACCCTTGAAGGTGCAAGGATTGGGATTATAAGACCAACTCCTGGGGATCCTCGCGAAGCTCCCTAAACTCTACAAAACACCACAAACTCATGGGTATCGGGCTTCTGCTAACCCCAACAATCTTCGGCAAATGAATGACGCACCTAGGACCTAGGGGGTTCAGCAAAGGACCCCCTTTAGAGCAATCCGTAAAGGGGCCTTTAACATACCAATGAAACCCGCAATGCACACCAAGCTTAGGCCAGGGGCAAGTCCAGAATGGCATCGCGGTGGTTGGGGCTCGGCGGGGAGGACGAGTCCTCGTGAGCTTACGGGTTCCTGAAACATGGGTTCCTCTCTTCGGTTTTTTGTAAATATTTTTGAGTGGTCCTCTAAAGGGTTTTCGAAAGGGGGGGTAGGGTTGCCAAATACCTTAATCATAATCCCCAAGCTAAGCCGTTAATCTGAAGAGCCCTAAACCCTGAACATTGAGCGCACAGCTTAGGGGCTTTAGACTTTCAATCCTCAGCCCGAACCCTGCAAGCCCAAAGCCCTAAACTTCAAGCCTATGATTTGTGTCGCAACTGACGTAATTGCAGGTTGCTGCATTGACCGTGTTGTTGGCCCCTCGACCCACTGATGACGAAGGGCTTGATATTTGCACTGCAATACGGCAGGGCGTGTCCTCGAGACATTTCACTCTGTTGCTTTATCTTGCTTTGAGAAACGTCGGGACGCTCTGCTCCAACATGACCCCTACACCCTAATTTAGGGTTTAGGGTTCTAGGGCAATCCGTACACCTTATTGTACACCTAGAATCAGACCCTCACCCATCCTATGGACTGTAACAGACAGCTTGGCCCATGCCAGGAAAACAAATATGAAAATGCATAGTGGGCTAAGAAATAAGCTGCTCGAGTTCACAGCCCATTGGCCCACTGTCTTCGCAGCAACTTCGTCGACTGCTCGGACGTCAACCCCACTTTCAAGTTGAGCCCCGGCTGTCTCATCGCTCTTCTACTTTTCAGGCTTTTCGTCATCATCATCATCATTCGGGCGCCGCCGTCGCCACAAGCACACCGAACAGATTGGGTGGCCCAAAAAGGGGGGTTGGCTAAGGGGGGGTACAGGGCAACGGCATGAAGGCGACAGGCTCAGGTGTGCAGATAGTTCTTGCGTAGGTCTGCGCGCGATAACTGTGTGTAAGAACATTTCCATGCAACCAGTTTGTCGTGAAAGCCAAAGCCTTGTTCTCTCGCTGTATATATCTGTCCTGACTCGCCCGTTCCTGGCGGATGTGCTCAGAGCACTGGGCGGCATCAAAGTTGGGCAGCTGGGAGTGTGCTGGGTTTCTTCACTTACAATGCGGCCTTGGTCACTATGTTGGAAACTGGTTTGGCATGGACTGCATGGTGCAGATTGCCAGACAAAGGCTACAATGCAACCGAACCACGGCCGGTGCAATTTTGTATTGGACCGCCGAAATGCCGATACAAGCGTCGAGGCTGATGTATCGGAAACCGACAAGGGCCCGGCCATGCTTGCCACGTTTGCGACAACAAACGCCTAAGACTGGCTGTTCAGGTCCTGAAGGGGAGGGGTCCATGACTTGCTCACCGCTGGCTCGTATCACCATCTCACGTATGGCCTCTCTCTTCAGCCAGCTCCAATAAACTTGGAAACCTCAGTCCTCGACCCTGAACCCTAACCGCTCGACCCTAAACCCTCAAACCTAACCCCTAAACCGCTCGACTCTACACCCTCAAACCTAAACCCTGAACCTGCAACCCTCAAGCCGAATCCCAGAACCCCGAAACCATGCGTGGCTTTGGGTTCAAGCCTGCGTCTGACTGTCGAGATGTTCCCAACCCCAATCCCTGAAGTCACGAGCCACGGTTTAGGGTTAAGGGCTTAGGGTTTACAAGCCCTTCAACGCCCTATGGCTAAACAGTGGAGCAGTTTGCCAAGGCCCGTTGTACGTAAGATCTCATAGCACCTAAACCCCAAAACACTCTCAAGGCCTTGAGCCCTTTACCCAAGAGGCCTCCTAACCCCTGAACCTGAAAATACTATAGAATCCTAAAGCCCTGAACTCTAAGACCCCAAATTCTAAACCCCTAAACCCTAAAACCGCAACCCTCAACCCTCAAAGACCAAGAGCCCTTGCCCCACCCCCCCATCTCGTTACAACTCCTGGCTTCCCACGCGCCTTGGGCTCGGGGGGGTTAGGGCTTAGACTTCAGGATTCGATGGTTAAGATAAACTAAGATAATCATTTTACAGTGTTTAGGAGTTGGGATTTAGGTTTAGAGCCCAAGCCCTAAACCGTAAAGCCTTAAACCCTAAACCGTGGGTTTCGGGTCCCGGAGAGTTCCCGATCTTTGGATCCTCGGAGTGCCTGTTGGGTTTCGATAGGAAAGAAACGAGAACAGTGCCTTCAGTCCGAGCCTTTGGTTTGGGTTTGAAGGTTTTAGGGTTCGGGGTTCTTTGAGGTCTAGGGTTTTAGGGTTCTAGCGTGTTTCGGGCTTTAGGGTTTAGGGCTTTAGGATTTAGGGTTCTAGGGAGTTTAGGCTCTAAGGCTTTAGGGTTTGGGGTTTTAGGACTCTAAGGTCTTTAGGGTTTGGGGGCTTGGGTTTCAGAAACGGACGCTGTGGGGGCCCAGCTTATCGACACACAAGGTTTCGCGATGTTTTGTGGTTTGGCGCTTAAAGTGGTTTTGAGGGATTTCTTGAATGCCGTGTCTATGGCTATGGTATTGAAACATATTTGTCTATACTGCTTCAGTGATGGACCACATGTTTGTTTGTCTTGCGGTCATTAAGTATTGTGTGCGAGGCAAATGAAGAGCAATACTTCATTATATTCAGTATTTCGGTGTTTGGGCTCCGAGAGATGCAGGCAGGGGGGGGGGGAACAACAACAAATAAAGTAAAACAATGGCCCGTTCCCCCCGCGGCCGGCTTAAATAAGGGTTATTTGGAAGCTGGGAGTGGTGTATTAATATAGACAGCAGAACCCAACCACACCCCCACCTGACCCAGCCTCACTCACAGACCCAGTTGCCAGCCCAGCCCACCCAGCCCAGCCCAGCTGAGAGGGGAAAGCCAAGAGACCCTCTTTCCCGCACGGCCTCGGCCTCATGTCACGCTCTGTGTCACTCCCTCTCTTCTTTCTGCAAATCTCTTTCTTTGTCCTTCTTCCTTTTCATTCCTCTCACCCACTCCTCCTCCTCCAATTCCACAAGACGTACCACTATTGCTGATGCGTCCTGTTCCGTGCGGACATGATCTCAAACTCTCAAACCGCCTATTTCCAAAGCACTTTGCAGAAGAAGAAGTCACGAGGAAAGAAAACAGAGGGATGTAGAGAGATCTAAGAGGTAGTGAGAAGGAGCAGGGGGACTTTTCCCTGGTATTTTTTCATTCCCCTTTCTTATCCTTGCCGTTTTTCCAATTCTCTTTTTGAAGGATAGATATGAAAGAACTGGAAGGGAGAGGAGGAAAGGAACGCGGCCTGGGCAAATCAAAAGAAAGTTGCAAAAGGAAGGATAACGGAAAGAGAAAGCTAACAACCAACAAGCAGGAACGAGAGGTGGACAGAAGGAGAGAGGAGAAAGGGAGAAATGCAAGGAGAAGAGATAGTAGAAGGAAGAGAGACAGAGGACGGGGAGATGAAAGTACGGGATGAGGGGAGCATGGAAGAGCAAAGAAAAGTGGGGTGCCCCTCCTCTGCTCTTTGCGTCTTGCTCTTCTCTTTTCTTCTTTCTCTCCAATAGGCCCTCTTCCCCACTGTCTCCCTCCTTCCTCTTCTTCATTGCTTTTATATCCTTCTCTGTGATTGGGGACCTAAAAACAAGAACCTGAGGGGGAACTGTATTTTTGTGAGATGGCTATTCCTTTTTGAGATGATAGATGTTATGGGGCACGAGGCTTGGAAGCTCCCTTTGGGTATGGCGTGCTTGTCTTCTTGAATCTTGGGGGGACAGGGCTTGGTATTTCTTGTAACTGAGAAGATTTTATGGAGGGATGGGGTTTGCCAATTCGTCTTTGGGAGAAGCTTCCTAACTTTGTGAGATGGTGATTGCGATTTTCTTGGATGTAGGAAAGCGTTTTTTTGCGCAAGGTAGGTGCCTCCAAGGCACGCCTCTTCATCTCATTCCGCCTTCCCATACCACTTTAAAGGAAGAGACACGAAGAGAGGAGGGAAAGAGAGAGAGAGAGAGAGCGAGACATAGAGTAAGAGAGAGAGAGAGACATATATATATATATATATATACACATAGAAAACTGACAAAAACTCGCACCAAGTTTTGAAAATCGATAAAACTTGGTGCGATCTACACTCCTGGCATTTTACGACAACGACAAGCAGTGCGTAGATCACACCAAGTTTTGTCCATCGTGTGTTTCTCCACAAAATCGATGGACAAAACTTGGTGCGATCTACGCGCCTGGCTTTGTTTTAGATAACGAAAAGTCCCATACTACGTTAAAGGCAACGAGAGGGAGAGGAGGGAGAGAGAGAGAGAGAGAGACAGACAGACAGAAAGAGAGAGACGGAGAAACGGAGAGAAACAGAGAGGAGGGGAGAGACAAGGTTGAAATTGCAAACTCGTCTTCTCTCGAAAGCCAAATCATGGATTAACAAACGGGGGCCCCATCTTGAGGGGGATGGGGCTTGCGATTTGTTTTTTGCGATACGGATTTCTTCCAAACCCTTAGGAGGACGGGGCTTGCGATTTGTCTGTGGGGATACGGATTTCTTCCGAATTGCGATTTGTCTGTTGGGATGCGAATTTCTTCCAGAATCTTAGGGGGACGGGGCTTGTGATTTGTGTTTTGGGATACGAATTTCCTCCAAATTTTTAGGGGGATGGGGCTTGCGATTGTGTTCTTTTGGGATACGAATTGCTTCCAAAATCTTAGGGGGACGGGGCTTGCGATTGTCTTTTCGGATACGAATTTCTTCCAGAATCTTAGGGGGACGGGGCTTGCGACTCTTTTCTTTTGGGATACGCGTTTTT